TTTTCCCTGCCCTTGGTAGGCTACCAAGCGATGCCTTGCTCGGAGGAGAAGTGGCGACAGGTGGGACTTTTTACTTTAGAGAAACTACGATATTTGGGAGTGGAGAGGAGAGGTGTAGAGAGGCAGGGAAGGGTCCCTCTTGCCCAGCTGTTTCCCCACCTCTTGCAATGCTTTGTGCCTTTCCTCCTGACTGGCACCATGCACTGCACACACACACACCCCTTTTTTCCACTGAGTCCCCGTGGAATGGCCTTCTTTTCCCCCCAGCCCAGGAATGGCCCAGCCTTCAGTTACCCTTAGCTGGGTGGGTGTTAAAGAATTGCTCCCCCACCCCCACCCCCCACCCCCAGTTTCAGTCCTGCCCCAAAGCAGCCTCCAGGTGTGCAAAATCTGTCCGGGTTTGGCTTTGTCACCCATGACCTTGGAGCCACGCCGGGGCTGCAGCCACTGGGGCCAGAGGCAGGAGAGGGATCAGCAAGGGGCATGAGGAGCCAATTTCTTAATGTTCCTCTTGGACACAAATGAGGTGTTAGGGATGGAAGTGGTGAAAGTAAGAATTTTGGCCCTAGGGCGGTTAAACTATTCAGAAGCAAGGTGATTCCACTTCAGCTCTCAGCAGCTCTACCCTTATAAAGCACACAGCCATATGCCCTGCAGTCCACATTTATGGGAAGAATTCTCCAACCCCTCCATTTATCCCCAGCACCCTACTGAGATTTGAATTAGCGTTGCCTTTCATAGCCACCCGGATGGTAATATGTCTCTGGCTGAAATCAAACTATGGGATTGTGGGAGGAGAGGCGTGTTAGTTTATGGCAGCAAAAAATCAGGAGGAATCTGGTAGCCCCTTTTCCGACTAACACATTATATTCAAAGGCAGAAGCTTTTGTGGACCGCATTTCACTTCATCGGGTGTGCAGAGTGGCTAGACTGTAGGAGTCTGGCCACTCTGTGCATCTGATGAAGTGACTTACAATTTCTCTTTTGCAAGTTGAGAACAATTGTTCAATTTGTTCTTATAGATAAATTAAATTCCTCATGGAAAAGAAACCATAACCAATTCTTTCTCCCTCGGTGGCCTCGCAGTTCACTTCAGTTCACTGATGGATATGTAGAAAGCTATCTCTGAGGCCAAACAGCTCTTCCTTGAACTCGGCTTACGAGCAAACAGATCCAAAGTTCCAAATTATGTTTAGGGAACTGTTATCACATCTCCTTCATTAATCGAAGCTACTTTCCCCCTTAAACAAAAAGAAGTTTAAATTAATTAGGTTCAGTGCCCTATCCTCGAACCTGGTGGAGCTTCTTCCTCATCTAGATCACCTCTGCATGTGCTCAGAGGCAGTCATCAGAACAACAGCCCATGCCCTGTTGCACTGCCCACTCTGTCAGGACTGCTGATCTCTGTTAGTGCCCCTGGTCCTTGCTAGGTCCAGCAGCCGCACAGTCTGAGATTGTCCTGTGGGTGTTTCTGGGTTCTGCTCCATTGCAAATGCCATCGGGGAGTCGGTGGGCTTAAACTCCCCCCAGCCTCAAATCAGCGGCCACTGTCTAAAAGGGTAGGTTCCTGATGCAAACTCCCTTTGGCTTTTCACTGTTTTATTATTTTCCTGTTGGATGTATGCATGCACCTTATTTGATCCCCTGTATTCTTCTTCTACTTGTTCTGGTATACTTTTTTTTTTTAAATTGGTCTCTGACTCCAAAGAAACAAAAATGTTTTCCTGCTGTAGTTTTCTGGTGACTCAGAGACGGGTAGGCAGCGCTCTTTAACTCAGCAGTGGGGGGATTCTGGAACATCCAATGAAGCAGAACAGAAAAATCATGCACTTTTTAAAAGTGTGGCGCAGTTAGGGGATTCCTGGTCATCAAGTGGGCTGGCAGTTGCCAACTGAGACAGCTTCAGAGACGAGGAGGAGAGTGAGGCGCTCCTTGGTAACTAGTAGTCACGGAGACTCTAGGAATGGCTAGGTTCGATCTCCGCTTGTTGGGGTACATGCATGGAAAATGCCCTGGAGCTCAGGTGGGCTTCCCATCGGAAGGTCTGGCTGGCCACCCTGCAACCCCTACGCGGGTGAAGAGGGGCCCCGGGCGGGCTCTTCTCCCCAGTGGCTTCTGCCTACTTGGGGCTTTTGAATGTAAATGTTTCCAAGCGAGGCAGTGATTCACTCTTCACTTTTTTGCACCCTGGAAAAGAATGCAAGTTCAACTGGAACGCAGAGTCTCTTCCAATGGACCAAGGAGGGTGGGAGAAAGGGGATGGCGTGCAGTTATTTCAAATATTCCAAGTGCCCTCTCTTTGGTATAAGATCCTGTTTGATTTAGGATAGTCATGAGAGGGACTCAAGAGCCTTATGGCAGGCAATGACGTCTTGTCACATCAAAGCAGTGCTGTAACTGGGGGTGTTCTCAGGGCACATTTTGGAAACTTGCTTAAAAAAAAATATAACTCTTTGACCTTCAGGCACATGTGTTTTGCATGTGGGCCCATGCACGAGTTTGTTGCTCAACTCTGTTCATGTACCTGTAAAGATGTTCATCTGAACAAGCCATGAAGAGATACTTCTGTTCCAAGGGTAGAGCCCTGGAAGCGGGTTTTTGAGTTAAAACCTCCATACTCAGATAAGGCTGTGTGAAGTGCAGCCTTGGTCTTTCTTTTTTAGGAACAAGGCCATGTGTAAAGGCTGCGATACGTTAAGCTAAGAAACAGCTGGTTTAGGATAAAAGAAGCAAAAACATTTGTTCTGGGAGCGGAGTTTACGAGGACTGTGTTATAAGATGGTTAGCCAAGGTCTGCAAGCTTACGTTCTGCACCCCTGGGCAGGTTTGAGAAAGGGCACCAGCTGACCTTGGCTAATCACAAAAAGGCTAAGCAGGGTCCAGCTCGACTAGGACTGTACTTAGAGGGGAGGGCTGTAGTCCGTCTGGGAAAGTCGCACTGCCTCCAGACCCGGCCAGATGAGGCTGTCTCTGAAATCCCGTGGACTTCCGTTTGCACACTGAAGCCTGTTTCTGTGCAGAGGGTTAAGGAAAGGTGTGTGGCAGGTGTCTCGAAGGGAAGGCAGGAATGTAATTTTTATCAACCTCTTTTGTGCTGTTTCCATCCCCAGAATCCAGCAGGCCCAGTCACACCTGGATGGCCTGGGCTTTCTTTCTCCAGGAGGGCACACCTTGCCCATCGGCACCCTGTGAAGCCAGCCCTCTGAGAAGCCACGGCTTTGCTCCGACAAGCCTCTCCCCCGCTCTTCTGCAGAGCAGGGAGGCCAGAGGGGAGCCCGTCTTGAACCCCCAAAGCGGAGAGAGGGCCGGAGGCAGCCGGGGCTCAACCACCCCTCTTCGGGACAACCCAAACAATCTCAACCTCCCGCCAGCCTTCGGCCTGCTCCCCTGGAGGAGCTGCCCCGGTCTGGGTCGCCTGGCAGAGGCGGAAGGACACCGGCTGCCGGCAGAGCCCGGCGGGAGGACCGATTCTCTGGAGAGCTTCAAATGTCTGGACTGCCACAAGCCCTACAGCACTTTCTCCAGCCTGGCCCGGCACCAGCAGCAGCGGTGCAAGCTGCAAGCCACAGCGACAACAAAGCTCTTCAGCTGCAAATACTGCGACAAGGAGTACACCAGCTTGGGGGCCCTCAAGATGCACATCCGAACCCACACGCTACCCTGCGTGTGCAAGATTTGCAGCAAAGCCTTTTCCCGGCCTTGGTTGCTCCAGGGACACATCCGGACACACACAGGTGAGGGAGGGTGCCCTGAGGAGGGGAAATAGCATAGAAAACGGGGGGGGGGCTTGCACGCTGCTGCAATGAAACGCAGGCTGGAGAGCAAATATGTGTATGGATGTACTGTATTTGCACCTAGCCTTTCTCTTAGGAGCCCAGAGGGGCATAGAAGGGCGTTCCCTTTACTATGTTAGGCTTACAACAATCCTGCAGAGCAGAGGAGGGTGCATGCACGCACCCAAATTCATCACAAGAGTTCCGTAACAGAGTACAGATCTTCGGCCCATTCCGTTTCTCCTTGTTCGACATTTGGCTGTGGATCCTCAGCTCTTCCTTTCAGGGCACTTGGCACCGCTCAGAGAATCACCTGCTCTGCTAAATGGCATGAGCCAAGATTAAATCCTGGTTATAAAAAACAGATTCTGGGCTCGATCTGGAGAGAAACCCAGTTGCAGTGAGAGGGACTTACCTGGATTACGCTTTTGCCCTTTTGGGTTCAAGGGGAAACTGAACTGTGCTTTAAGGAAGCCAAAATCTGTAGCCACCAGAAGCCAAACAACCCACTAGCGAGGTCGCACTCACTGGCTAAATTAAAGATTGCTAGATAAGTCACAAATTTCTGGCTCCTCTTATCAACCAGGAGATTTCTCTGCAGCCCTGCTTTATGGATGTTCCCCAAACAGTTTTGCAGCATAGTGACCCATAAGTAGGCATGCGTTGCTCTCTTTCCACAATATCTCTGTCCTTTGTGTTATTCTTCAAAGCGTTATTCAGTGCATCTAATTATATTAAGTTTGCCCATTATATTTTCCTTTCATTATGGAGCTCAAGTCAGCAGAGATGAAGTTCCCACTCTGAAGTGGCTGCCTAACCAGATCTTAGCTGGATTCAGTCTGGTCGGTTCTGCGAAGTGGCTGGAACACACGCTCTGCACCAGGCCGTTAAAAAACCTTAATAAGATTTACCGTATTCTTTAAAGATATGTATTATTTAATCTTTTAAAAGCAAACAAATAAATCCTTGCTTTACCTAAAAAATGACAAAACGGATAACAGCAAAATAAACAACTAACAAAACCTGTTTGGAGCTATTCTCATGAAAAGCAACAACGATTATGACATGGAGAGAGTAGCAAAATGGAAAATGATGTTAAAGACATCCTGTGGAATCTAGCAGCACCAGTCCGTGTCTAAAAGCTTAGGGACCAAGAAGAAAACTGAAAAGGTGCTGGGAAGAACATTCTGAAAAATGATAACACAACCGAGGTCGCCTGTCCTGGTTTCTTCTTCCTTCCTCTTCCTCACCTGAGGAATGCGGCCCATCAAGTTTCCGAACATCTTCTACAGTGGATTTTCTACTCTTTGCGCAGAATGCAAATTTCACAGTGGAAGGAGTGACAGCCCAGTCCCTTAAGCTTGTTGGTTGAGGGACGTGATTCTCGCTTGGACGGGGAGAGGTGCTGGGGTCCCATGCCCAGACAAAACCCGTCTCCACGGAAGAGCCCACAGTACCGGAGTAGGTCTGTGCTTTTGTCCAGCAAAGGCCTGGATTTGGTTCACCGAAACGTCCCCCTGAAAGGATCAAAGAGACACGAGTGGGGAGGCCTCCTTCTGGCCGAACCCCTGCAGAGAAAGCAATACTGGCCCGATGCAGCTTCGCCGCTGGTGGCCAGGTTGGTTCATCCGCTTCGATGTTTCCTTGGTCCGTCCTGCTTTAACTCGAGGGCTTCTCCTTTTCACTGCGGGGCGGGGGGAGGCCAGAGCAGCTCCCTGGTAAGGGAGGAGGTCAACATTTTAGGCTTTTTAGCTCAGGAGGGAGAGGTTAGGCAACAGTAGAAGTCTATAGCAAATGGCTAGAAAATGTGGGCAGAGAGTTCTCCCTTTCAGAACTCGAGGTGGTCCACCAAAGCTAAATGGGGGCAGATCCAGGACTGATGAGAGGAAGGACTTCTTTGTAGAACACATTTAGTTACGTGGTGGGATTTGCTGCCATCTGATGTGAAGATGGTCACCAATTTCCATGCTCTCAAAAGGGAGTGGACAATTCACGAAGGATCGGGTTGCCTTTGGCAACTATTAAAAGATACAATCTTAATTGAGCTGAGCTGAGGACTTCTGGTGGCTACAAGGACACCCTCATTCATTTTTCTTGGCAATGATATATGACAGCGTTTGCATGGCTTTCAACTTTTCGGACTGGTCCAGAGCTCTGGGATTGCCTGATGGTCTTCCATCCAGGCACAAACCAGGTCTGACGCCGTGTAGCTTTTCTCAGCTGGCCAGGTGGTGCCATCTAAGTGGTCTGATGAGCAAGTGCTGTCTCCCAAATCCATGACATCCTATGTCTTCCATGACAGCTGCTCAGGAGCAAAAGTGAAAGAGAACAACCATTTCTGCTCAGTTTACTTGCGTGCTTCCCAAATACAACTTGCCGGATGGAGGCAGTCGGATCAAGCCTCTGGGCTCCGCAGAGAATTTCATTTGAAAAGCTGGGGAATTCTGGGAGTTGAAATCCACGTATCTTAAAGTTGCTAAGGCTGACAAACACTGATCTAGCTATTCTATGCACCCGATGAAGGGAGCTGCCGTTCACAAAAGCTTCTGCCTTTTAATTCAGTGTGTTAGCTTGAAAAGAGGTGACCCGACTCTTTCTGATTTTGGAGGTCGATAGGGCCAGAGTTTCCGCCTGACGCCTGTCCTTGCGTGCCCTGTCCGGGCTCACCTGTTGGCCTTCCTTTCCAGGTGAAAAGCCCTATTCCTGCTCCCACTGCAGCCGGGCCTTTGCGGACCGCTCCAACCTCCGAGCCCACCTGCAGACCCACTCAGAGATCAAAAGGTATCAGTGCTGCGCCTGCTTAAAGACCTTCTCCCGGATGTCCCTGCTTTTGAGGCACAAGGAGGCTGCGTCCTGCGCTCCAGCATCCTGAGGCCGGGCAGGGAGAGTCTGTCAGCAGTCTGGAGGCTGGGTGGCGTCCTGCAGCAGGAGTCTGACCGCACGCACCCACGTTCCCAAGAAGCGTGGTTTGACCATGGTGGGATCTAGGTACCTCTCTGTTTTTAAAAAGAGGAAAAGTGCCCCACTCTTTTACTTTTGTGCAATAAAGCAGCAAAAGGAGTTGTCTCTTAGGCTGATTGTAAATCCCTTCCATGGACTCCTCTCTTCCTCTAAATCAACCCAAACAGCAGTTTGGTGCTAGTGCATTTCCTTGGGTCCAGGACGGCTTAGTTGCTTGAGCACCGCAGACCTTCTTTGCCAGCTGGCTTCCTTCGCAGACCAGTGCTGGAAAGGAGTTCAGAAATGCAAATGCACCATCTGCTTCGGTCTGCTGGTCTTGGCACTAAAAGATGCTCGTTTTGCGTTTCTGGGCTGAGTTTATTACGGCTTTTCTAGATGCTGGTGAATCCGGCCGATCATGAGCTCCTTTGCCGGAGTCTGCGGGAGGTCCAGCTGCTTCGTGGAGCAACACAGAGGGCTGGCCAAGACGGGTGCCTCTCCCTAGCAAAGGTGAAGAAGGTGGTGCTTCATAGGATCTGCTCAGGCCAAGCCCAAATGCAATTTGGGGCAAGGCAGGCCACCCACAGAATCTGGGGGGAATGCACTAGGGTTCTTCCCAAGAGGTTAGCCAGTGTTTCTCAACCTTGGCAACTTGAAGATGTGTGGACTACAAGTCCCATGCTGGCTGGAGAATTCTGGGAGTTGTAGTCCACAGATCTTCAAGTTGCCAAGGTTGAGGAACCCTGATCTAGATGGCCCCTGCTGGAGGCAGAATATTTCCTTTATTCCCTTATGCCTGCCGCTGTAGGCACGCAGCAGGTCTCCTGCTTCCCAAATCATCCATATTTTAACTGGCTGATTCTCTGGATATGTGCTGTGATCTTTCTGTCTCTGACACGTACTTGCCTAATCAGCAGAGCAAAAACGAAGCTGGTGGACTATGCCATTGGCGCCAATTCTGATGCTCGTGCAAGGAATTTGCATTCAGGCGAAGGCTCCCAGCATGGGATTTCTCCGGTGCAGGAATGAAGGGCACCACACAGCTCCCCAGAGCCCATCCCAAAGCGATCACCAGGTTATTATTTTTAACGTGACAAAGGGCAGATTTTTTAAAAGGCGGGGAGTAATCCCACTAGCAATATTTAACAACTGCCATTTCATTTAAAATGCAAATAAAACAAAATATAAGGCCATGTTCATCAAGATGCAACCCACTTTTTTGAGTGTACCCCCAGTGGGCTATTTCAAGGGCAAGAGGACCCCTAAATCTGAAAAAAGTTCTGCACGATTTCTGCTCCTCATGAAAAAGCTGTCAGTGCAATCAGCTTTGGAGTGCTGTTATTTTTTTCTGCCTGTTGTTCTGGCACACACCCATGTTTTGCACAGGACATCTGGAGCAGTTGCGTGCTTCTGTTTCTATCAAAGCGCCTACCAAAGTGGGTGATGTTGGAGCAACTTGTAGGCAGCAGCGAGGCCAGTCTGGCAGGATGGGGAAGCAACAGGCATAGTTGTAATTTGGGCAACAGGGAAGGAGGACAGCCTTTGCTGCGGCCAGAGGCTTAAATAGGGCTCAGGGATGCCTAAAGAAAGCTGCATTGTAAACTCTGCGCTATTTTGAGTCCCCAAACTTCTAAAAACAGCCCTTCCACCTGTCGTCGTGAGGGCCAGGGCAGGAAAGTATGTTGCTGCTTCTAAAATAAGCCAAATGTTTTTCCTCTCTTTCTCGCAGCAGATGGAAAGTGCTTATAAATATAGCAGCAGGGGCAGAGAGGGGGGCTCGAGACCCGCACCTGCCAATCTGCCAGCGAAGAGGGGAACGTGAGGATCAAATGAATGAGTTTTTCCATCCTTCTCAGGCGGCCTGAGCTGGGATGTGCAGAAGGGCACCATCTGGGTTCCTTTGTTTCGGTTCCTCCTCAGTCCACAAAGGGTCGTCCTCACGAGGCGCCTTTGCTGGCTGGGAAGAAAACTGCCTGAGGTCCCCGTCCTCAGATAAATCGATAAAAGCCAAAGAAGAGGGATAGTCTGCATTTGGAGTGATTCCTGCTCGGCTGTCTCCCCAGCATGTCTGCCTCACCTGGGCAAAGGCAGCTAGGATCTAAACAAGGGAGCGCAGCTGGATTCAGCCCTCAACTCAGCTCAGCCGTCTGGGCTCAGCTACCTTCCCCCAATCTCAGCCTTCTCGTGCACAATGTGAGTGAGAATATACACTGGTTAGGGTCACACAAAGTACTTAATGACAAATCTAGCAGCTCCATTCACGTACTGTACTGCAGTATGTGAAGCTTATTAGTTCATTGGGTGGTGGTGTTTTGATCAGGCTTGGTCTGATGTATAAACCTAGCCTTTTGGGTTGGACTATAATTCGGCGTATAGTAATTGATGGGTTCATTATGTGCTACCAAGCCAGTGTCAACTCTTAGCGCACAGATTGATTTTCTGCAGGACAGTCTGTCCCTAATGTGGTCCTTCAGGTCTCCCAGTGGTGACATCATAACTGAGTCCCTCCACCTTGCTGCTGGTCATCCTCTTCTTCTCTTTCCTTCCATCTTTCCCAGCATTAGAGCCTTCTCCAGAGAGCTAGGTCTTCATATAATGTGTCCTGAAGTAGATAATTTGAGCCTGGTCATTTGTGCCTCTAATGAGAACTCTAGTTTGATTTGTATGGTGATCCACTTGTTTGTTTTCTTGGCTGTCCATGGTATTCTCAGGAGTCATCTCCAACCCCAGTGTTCAAAAGCATCATTACTGTTTCTATCCTGTTTTTTCAGAGTCCAACTTTCGCTTTGATAGTGTGTCACAGGGAATACCATTGCTTGACTCATTCTGATCTATACCTGCTTAGCTATAGACACATCATGGCACCTGAACATCTTTATAAGACCTTCATGGCTGCTGTACCAAGTTCTGGTCAGTGACGTGTTTCTTGACTGTTGTTCCCTCACTGTTGATGGTTGATCCTAAAAGGCAGAAGCTATTTAGCACTTCGGTAGGACAACTGGGGAGACCCAAATTCAATATTCAGCTATGTAATTACAAGCCTTGAGTGACAACTCTGGGTCGATTTGTTTAATGATCCATCGGTTTGTTTTCTTGGCTGCCCGTGGTATTCTCCAACACCAAGGCTCAAAAGCACCAATACTCTTTCTACCCTGCTTCAATGTATAGTACAAATGCAGAACAATTTGGCAATGAGAATAAGCGTGTTGTGCAACCAGCTGTTGAACGGTGAAGACATACAGATGCAATCCCATTTCGATTTGCAATTACAGGATAAAGACGGATTGCCGTCTGAAGCCCTGGGCTTTTCTCCCAGGCGGGCTTGTCGCCGAGGAAAAGAGTTGCTCTGTCCAGGACGGCCGCGCAGGCGGAGGCAGCCGGAGTTTCTGCGTCGGGGGTGGATTTTATGGGTGGGGAACTGCGAGCAAACTCTCCTGCGCAGCGGCTGACAACGACGGAAGAGGCTCGGCGCGCCCTGGTGCGAACGGGCCGCCTGGGAGCCGCTCTCCCCCAGCGCCCTCCTGCCTTGCCGGCGAGGAG